CTATATAGATCTCACAGTGAGCTTGCTCAGCATTGCTCTGTCCCAGGTATGAGCAAGAAAACGTCCTTGTCACTAGCGTGAGTCATTGCTGAGGAATGAGCAGCGATCCTTACACTGCAGGGGATGAGGGTGAGCGACCAGCCTTCTTATTTGGGACTGTGTTCTTGGGCTGAGCATCAGTTCTGGCAATTTTCATCAACTGCAGCTCCAAATGTATTTGAAAGAGGCTTAAAATAGTTTAATCCTGGCTTTATATTCAGACTCCTTTTTCCCCTAGAAATATATTGTGCTGACCTTGGGTTTTTTTAACATGCATCATTAAAAAAATTCCAAATTTACCTGTGATGTCTTTACTTTGAACCTAAGAAGAGATCCCTGGTTATAAGGTTTTATAATATTGGGTTGTGAGATAAAGGGCTGATCTGTGCATACACAAAGGAGCACAGGGATGTAATAGCAGGCAGGAAAATCCCAGAACACAGAGAATTAGAGTCCTGTCCTGCCTCCCCCTAGGGTTGTCATGGGGCAGCCATGAGCTGGGGTGGGCATCCATCACAGTGTGTCAGTGAGGGAGGCACCTGCCTATCACCTTGTAGACCAAGGGGGATTACTCCTTGCAGGACTTTAGGGATCACTGTGGGATGCAGAGGAGAGTGTTTGGGGATTATATGGGATTTATGGGATATTCGGGAGACAGCTATTGAAGCTGCTGTATGTATGAGTTGGATGCTGGGAAGGTCAGATGGTGACAAGTTGGCTATTAGAGGGATCAAAAGGTTCAACCCAGCAGCATAGGGCCTGGGGTCAGCTGAGACCAGGTTGTATGTATGTCTGTCTGTGTAAAACTGGTGGAAAAGAGGGCAGCCTCACATCTACTGGGCTACCACTGCTGACTCTGTGACACAGAACAATTCTGATGGAACAGCTGGTGTGGTGAGAGAACATGTCCTAACTTTGTGTTGGAATTTTTTTTTTTTTTAAAGAAGGCATCATTCTCTGATGTTTTTTTCTCTTGGCTAGGATCCTGGTAAATTCTTTCTATGCCACCTGTAAGTTCAGTGCCCATAGCAACCAACTATGCATTGTGGTTGCTTAAACTAATGTTGTGTATCAGCATATCCTGAAACATCAATCACTTTGACTGGTGGACAGAACATTTAAAGAGAAAAATAACTTTGTGACTTTTGTGCCATTCTGTCATCCCAACATAGAGATTGCAACATTTATTAATCATTCACCTTGTATTTGTAGCTGCTTAAGAATAATTACAAACAAATTTTATAATCATTCTTGGGCACAGCAGTAACCCTTCTTTTTCTGAAGTGCTTCTGTAAAGCGTAGGACAGAATAATGTTCATAGGTCTAATTCTGCAGAGTGAAAGCAATGAGGATGTAAAGCTACTGAAACTCATGTGTTTGTCCGGAAGGACTGGGCTAGCTACCTGACATATTTTTGCCTTAATGGAGGTTTTAGTTAAATTAGATTTCAGAGGCAACATTGTGAATATTATTTGATTTTCTCTGTCCTTGTCACCAGGACAGGTTCTTTGGGGATCCCTGGCAGTGACTGGCTGCAGGGCCGTGGATATAATTAGAGATTTATTATTACATAAGAAAGAAACAAGCAGCATAGCTCATCACCTACGGTTTCTAGCACTTGGCTTACAGTTGCATTGAATTTTTAGAAGTCTGAGTTACAACATGCTTTTTAGGTCATTTAGGAAGACGCACTGCAGGTCAGGTCACATTCAGTCAACACACAACACTTGGGGCACGAGTCTTACAGTGAGTGGAAATGGGTAAGAGCAGAATAAAGAAGATTGTGTGGACATCACAAAGAGCAGTGTAAAGAGGGGCTTTGTCCACTGGCAGCTTCTCTAAACTATGAACAAACACATTTAATTCACTTCATTTTTTGATCCAGTGGAGAAGTAGAACGAGGTGACTTCCCTTAGGGCGATTTCTTCTTAAAATGTACAGAAATACAGGTTTTAAGTGGATCCTTAAATTCAGTCACCTGAATGCATCTCTAGTCAGGATCACTCTTCCACTCACTGTCCTCCACCTTGCTGTTCATTTGAAGCATTTGCTGTTAGCTATCTTCAGGCTGCAGAGGGAACCAGCTTAACTTCAGAGAGCAACAGAGGTGGTAAATGTGTTCTAGCCAAGGATGCATCTTCAAAACTGCCGGATTAAACATAGCCTAAGGGAGTTTTGTCCTTGTTCATGGATGGTGTAGTTTCATCTGCTGCAGTAACTTTTCTAGCAGATTCACTTGTAGCACATTTGGAAATGATGTACAGACCCTGACCATATTCTAAAATACTGTTGACGTATCAACAGAGAATATGCAGAATTCTTTTGTTCAAGTGTATGGTGTGGATCCAGCAGCTTTACTGCGCATAACAAATGGCAGGGCATGCTTCTTTCAACAGCTGTAGAAAACTGATTGAAGCTGGTCCTTTTCACCTGCCTGCCTGGCCAGGGAATTAAAGTTTCAGTCTGCCTTTTGTGTGTTTTTAAATATGCATGACCCAAACAAGGGACCTGTTGAGAGGCTCTGATGCTCTTGCATGTGAAACCCGGTATTCTAATCTTTTCCTTCTGATGTTTCAGTGCTTCCAGATGTGATAAATCTACCTCTGAAATAACCGTAATTTCTTCTTGAGTAAAATTGAGTTTAATAGGTAAACTTTGCAGCTGGCTGTTAGAAGATGCTGATTCAAGTTGGCCACACTGAGTGGATCACGCAGGGGGTGGTGATGCACTGGAACAGGTTGCCCAAGGAGGTTGTGGATGCCCCACCCCTGGAGGCATTCAAGGCCAGGCTGGATGTGGCTTTGGCAGCCTGGTCTGGTGGTTGGTGTCCCTGCACATAGCAGGGGGTTGAAGCTAGATGATCATTGAGGTCCTTTTCAACCCAGGCTGTTCTGTGAGTCTGTGATCACCTCATCATCATTTGCTTTAATTTCCCTGTTTGTGATGCAGAAAATATAGAGCTCACCCTCTTGTATGCAGCTCTGGGAGCTTTGTTCTGGGTAGCTTGTTTAGAAACCTTTGTGTAGTGTAAACATTTTAGAATGTGGTGAAGTCCTGCTCCACATTCATAGGTGGGGATTTCTGAACAAGGGACATCCATAAATTCTAGATACATCCCAAGCAAGTTTTCGAGCTAGGAAAGATACCATGATCAACCATATGTGCACGTATAATAAGAAGTGTGTTAAAAGCAATAGTCGGATGAAGAGTTAGTAAGATGTACAAGACATAAATGCTTCTTTATCAGAATAATCTAGTACTAAGCTGTTCAGTGCTTAACACAATTCTTACGATGATGTGGAAGTTTGTGTATAGCTTTGATATTCCAAGAACATTTGCACATCCTGTAGAGTAATGACAAACTGCCTGTTTAGCTTCTGAGACACGAATGACTGCAAGGTGAGTGAGACACTCAAGTAGCCCAAAGAACTTTTCACAGAAGCCTTTTTTTCATATGGGGATCTCAGGAAGACTGCACCTTTTCTGGGTTGCTCTTTAGAAACCCAAGACACAAAACTCTCTTGAGAGAGACCATTATAATATGCTACCGTTGTAAAATACTCTGATGGATGGCATAGGGTTTTTTTTTTTCCTCCTCTCTTGTGATAGTTGGAGTTGAACTTTAGATAACTTATTTTGAACATGGCCATTTAAAGTCTCTGTTCTGTTCCTGTCATTTTTGAAGATGTGAAGAAGGAGAGCAAAAGGAAAGGGAGAACAGAGCTGAGAAGAAGTTGTTATATTTGTTTTTGCAAGAATTAATGTAATCTATGAGAAAAAACGTCTTCAGACACTGCAACTACAGACAGCATTTAGTCTCCAATTCTATTTTGCCCTGAGACAGCCAGCAAAATAGAAACAGCAACACAGGATAAATCACTGCTGGCAGAACTTAACAGTTATGCAATGTCCAGCGCACCATGCACCTATTTTTAGATCAGCTTTATACTAGCAGAATTTAGATTATGAAATCTGAAAAGAATGTCTAGGCAAAGGCTGAGGGCAAAGAAAATATTGGGAAGAGCATCCATGTAAAAATGGTTAGTACAGAGGTATGCTTGTAAAAACAGCTTTGGCAATAGTGCTGTCCATTCTGGAGTGTTGGCTTGATCAGGCATGGTAATGCAGATCCGTTTTTTTCATCAGTATTCCCTTGAATTTCTAATCCAAAGTTGCTTTTCAAAGAGTTAACTCTGGCCAGATAGTGGTATGTGGTTTACATAAAGCTCAGCTTCTCCACTGTTTGCACTGCACTTTGTGTTTACCAGCTCTGGAATGAAGTAAGCCACAGCTCACCCCATTGGAATACCAGGTCAAACATAAAGAACTGTGTTAGATGGAGTGCTCTGCAAAGCTGGACGAGCTACAGAGAGGCTCCTCAGCCTTCGTCAGTCACCCTAGACTTAATGAACCTAGTGGTATTTAAACTGGTGTGTGCTCCATGTATGTTCTTGCAGATCTTTGGTAAATTAGGACTATGTGTGCTGTTTGCTTCAGATCAAAGTTCAGACTAAATATTTTGCTCTGTTTGCAGGAGTACATAGTAGGTTATGTTTGATGAGTTAAAGATATGTTTGCAACACACATATGACTGTTTTGGAAATGTGTGTTAGTGGATTAGATGTGCATACTCTGTTCTTCTTCCAAGATCAGATTTGCATCTTTTCTCCTTCTGATTTGACTTTATCCCCTTAGTCCCCGTGTTGTAATTCTACATTAGCTTGTGCAAGTGAGTGTCATTTTGTTTCCAAAGGTTTTGCTCAATTCAGAAGAGGTAGTGAATGGGAAATATCTGACCTCTCAGCCTTTGGATTCCAGAATATAAAACAATCTCTGCATAGCTGGCGTATCTTTGGGATTCCTTCTACAATTTTGGCAGTTTTCAATGTGCCTTGAAGTGAATTAGCACTCTGGTTGTTGTACGGCCTGTATTGATCTTTTTCCCCACATCTTTCTTCCAGGTAACAATCTTGATGCTATTCATGACATAACTGTGGCATACCCCCAAAACATTCCTCAGACGGAGAAGCACCTTTTGAATGGAAACTTCCCAAAGGAGATTCACTTTCATGTCCAGAGATACCCTGTAGAGACAGTGCCCACTTCTAAGGAGGAGCTGCAGCTTTGGTGCCAGAAGCGTTGGGAAGAGAAAGAGGAGAGACTTCGACGCTTCTATGAAGGTGGAAAGTGCTTTGATGAGACGGGGCAAAGCTTTATTCCCCCGTGTAAGTCTGAGCTCAGGGTCCTGGCAGTCAAGTGCATCTCACTCCTGTATTGGACGGTGTTCCCAATGGGTACGTTTGCACTGCTGTACCTGTACAGCTTTGCACGATGGTATTTTGCAGCCGTGATAATCATTTTTGTTGTGCAGCAAAAGATATTTGGTGGGCTGGAACTAATTGAACTTGCTTGTCATCAATATTTTAAAAAGCAACAGAAACTTAACGACACAAAAATTAAAGAGAAGTAACTTCTTGCGTAAAGAAGGGCATAATAATGGGTGGCTTTGGGACGTACTGCAAATTTTATGGACAGGAGAGAATTTTTGCATGAGAATTGTCTTTTACTATTGTCATTGTTTGCTAGACATTTGCACTTAATTCTGTGACAAGAAAGAAAACCGTTAGTTATCACTGCGTGTGAAAATGATAGTTTTTATCTCTGAATGTAATTTCAGCATTGCTCTTGCGAGCAGCTAGCAACTGCATTCTGCTGTAATTAAGAAACACGTTGCTGGATTATTGAACAATCAAAGGGATGTTAATAAATATGACGTGCACTGAAAGTCCATGTACAAATCCCAGCTGTCCGGCTAAGACAGACAGATGTGTTACTTCTGTACAATCACGTTGTCATGAAGCACCGGATTTGAAAAGCTGCTATGTTTAACAGTGGTTTGATGGTAGGTGGAAGCTGGAAGAGGATGTTCCATTTCTTTTTGTTGCTGTTTCAAATAGTCACACTTACTTTAAAATGCTTTGACTTCAGCTTCTTCAAACACTACTGAACCTAGCACGCTATTCAACCTGCTCTGCCTCAGTCAGTCAGAACTTAAAGGGTTTTTAGGCCTGCCAGTGTTGTGTTGTGGTCTGAGAAACAGTGCTGGCTTTGCGTCCAGTTGTCTTTGCTGATTATTTAATAGGTCTATTGCAGCTAGGTTTTGATTTTTCACTGTTGGTGCTGGTTTGGTGTCCCTCTTAGCTGTGGGAGATGTGTTCCTGCTGTAGTACGTAGAGCTGCAGGATAGGGGAGCTGGCTTTTGTTGTTTTATTGGTGGTTTTTTTTTTCTGGTAGAGGCAATAATATGTGTCTGTCTCTGGAGTAGCTGGTAAATGATTTTTCAAAGAGGTCTCATTATAGACACTATTTGACGATTTTTTTTATTATTATTTTTGGAGAAGGCAAGGTATCTTCTTTTGTTTTTTGAAGGCTTTTTTGGTTTATTCTCACGTTACTTCTGTAGACATTTCAGTTGTCCAAATGCATAAAGAAGAAAATTGCCTTTTCTGTGCAAGCCAGCCAGACCTGTTGGAATGTATCCAATGCAATGGTCGTATTTGTATGAGTATTAGAAAAGGTGGGTTTCAGACCATGACAGCACAGGGAAACTGAGTTTCAGCTTGTTTTTGCAGAATTATCTTGCATTGCCTGACTGCGTCACTTCTTTTCCATACTTCTTCACAAGCTTTTATTATTTTGGGAGGCTCCCACTGTAACACGCTTCCTTCTTTTCATGATATTGAGGCTTTCTAAATATCATGAAATCCAAATTAAACTCTGAAAATGCACTTTGCAAGTGTAATGAATGTAATATCTACAGTAAAAGGTACAAACATTGCCAGCACTTAGGAGACACTTCAGGTTAGTCTTGTTCAGCCTCAGCAATGTTAGATCACTTGGTCAAATGTATTGCTGCAGAACTTCCTGGACTTTCTGAACATTTGTTGTTTATTGCATGGAGACTTAATTGAGCTAAACCAAAAGAGCCTGACTGTATGTTGAGTTGTTCTGCTGTGAAATACGAACTGCCTATTTCAAGCACTGGGTCAGCACTGTAGGTACATTTGTTTCTTCTACAACACTGAACATGTTGTCTCCTGTGTTTCTATCAGAGGCCATTTCTGAATGAATCACCAGCCTCTATTCGACTGTCCCTCGCAAGGTGACAAGTATTTTTTAATCCGTGCTTATAATAACTGTTTATTATGCACAAAGTACTTGAAGCCATCGGTTTTATTCTAATTTTTTAATCCTTTTTTTCTTAAAAGATAAATAAAAGTAGGTTTATATTTAGGATTATGTTTCTAAATGATTTTTCATATTTATATGGGAGTCCCTAAAGTCGGGTAACTGTTGTTTTGTTGCAGTTCTTCTGTGGCGCGGTGATGTTCCTTAATGTCATTTTGTGATATCAAAGGCATTTAGACAAAAGCCTAGATCTGCATAGCTGGTGTTTTTCCCTTAGTATTCTGCTTTGGTGCAGTTCCTTGTATGTCCACATAACTGTCACCACAAGGGAAAAACTAAAATTGGCATTTATAGATAAGCAGAGGAGACGCAAAGGCTTTGAGTCTGTCCTGAGCCATGGCTGTGCTTTCACACCAGGAACAGCCATGGCTGGGGCACACCAGCAGCCTTAGAAGTCTTCGGGAATGACTTCAGAGGGCAGCTGTGACATAAATACCAGCTACACTTTTTCAGTCATTCAGAGAACTTGGTGACATCATAAAGCATACCAGAAACATCAGTGTGAGTCCTGGTCATGCAAGCAGGGAAAGATTTCTAGAGTATTTTGTATCTGTGTTTGATTAGAGTTCAATTCTGAAAATGAAATATAATGCGGTTCAGAGATGACCCTTACAAGTTTTCTGTCCGGCTGGAGCCAAACGTGTAACTAATGTAATGTGGGAAATGTCCTGCAAATCTGTAATTCATCCTTCTCTCCCGTGGATTCAGAGTGAGCAGAAATAATCTTCATCTTGTTAGCTCTAAATGCTGCATTTGCACTGCCTGGCTGCATACAGTAGGAGAGCCCATGGTAAGGGAGGAATCCTCCTCGCAGGGAAGGCTCTTGACTTTGAGACAGGCAGGACTTTCTGGACGCCGTGCCTCATTTTTCAATTAGAAATGCAAGACAAAAAAAAATCAGCTTTTGTGTTTAAAAAGTCGCTACAGTGATGAGGAAGATCCTTCTGTGTATGTTCTTTTCCTATTCGGTCAAAAAGAGCTTTTACTCGAAAGGTTTTAATATGCATATTTTGGGGAGAATACTTTGTTCTTATTCACCATTTCCTTTTTCAGACTCCAGTTACTAAGACACGCTGGGTGAATCACTTGAAGTGTTTTCAGTGCTGTTAGATTAAAGGTGCTAGTACTCCAGGAATCACACATCTACCTTTTGTGGACCTCATATTGGCACCCAGGTTTATCTTACTGATTAGCCCAGTTTCTCATGGCTTGTGTCCTCTCGCAGTCCTGGTAGACAGAGCACGTCGTTCAACCACGACTACTCCTGCTATGGGGCCTCCATCTCTGCTGTCTTCCTTATGTTATTTGAGAAACACGACTTGCTTTTCCTGCCTTTGGAGATACTCTTCGTTTGTTCCTTCAAATGTTTCCTCATCTGTGCTGTGGGTTTCTTTCTCTTTGCTCCGAACTGAAAGTTGAAGTCCTCTCATCTGTGTTTGTGCTGAAACTCTTCTGGCTAACAGAACATCAAACCAAGACATTTCTCTTGTGTTCAAAGCTGTGGGGCTCCAAGCTGGTCTGTAAGGTGTTGTCTTGATCATACGAAATGTAGTTTCTAGCTCTGTGCATTGCGTACATCTCTGTTGTTTAAAAAAGATGAGTGTTTTTATAACTTGATTTTATATGTACATTGTATGAAAGAAAATGCCAGGATACTACAAACCTACAGAAAGCCTTAGTTTTCAAAGTTCATTGGTTATATTAGGGTATTTTAACCATGCATCAATTACTCTACAGCAACAATAAAGTCTTGAAGCATTGCATGTGTTTAACTTCACTGTTTTCATTTTACTGTGTCACATATTCGGTATGCATCCTTAAGGAGCCTTGTCTCCACTCACACTGATGTCTTGATCTGCAGGTACTTGGTTGCTGGTTTATGGCTGTTACGGTTGTTGAGGTGACATTTCCCTTCAGTTCCTAGGAAGTGGAGAAGATTGTACACTCCCTGCTGTTCCCATAAAATGATGCAGAAGCCCTTGGGCAGGCCGGAGCTGTAGCTCAGTATTAGCCTGGCTTGGTTTCTTAGCCAATATTGCTCAAGAATTGGCTTGTAAAAGCACGTTAAGTATTGATATGTAGATAATTGCTCGCCTTTTACCATCAGTGTAATTAGACAAAAAGTAGTTTGTGGCAAGGTTCACTTACTTATAGGACCTGTTTTGATATGGCTTTGCAGGCTCAGTGTGATTTGTTTCTCCATTGTCTGGAAACTAATTTGGTGTGGAAGGGTAAGAGCTCTGTTTCTTAGGAGTTGCTGTGGCCCTTTTACCAAACAGAGTAACAAGGGTAATGACTTTAATGTGGCTGCTTCATTGTGGTCAGACTGTAATAAACAGAGACTTTGGTAGCTGTTTTTACAGCTGGAGATGATGTTTGGGATTTCTGTGTATGCTCTGAGCATTCAAATCAGTCTCCAGAAGTGGAAGTGTGCTCTACTCTGTACTGAGTGGCTTGTTTCTCTGAAAAGGCTGTTGTCACTTCCTTTTTGTTTCCTCAGGGCTCAAATATGCACTGAACAAAATATTGTATGTCTTACCTGGCATTAAAGAAAATAGTAGTAAAGAAAGCTAAAGCTCTCACCTTCTGTCTGCCCTCAGCACACCCCGTTTGGTTCAGTACAACTGGCAGAAGGTTCAGTTTTGTTTCATGAGGACTGTGAATCAGATGGCAAGTTACCTCGACCAGAAATTATTAGCACAGTCAGTGCTTATAATGTGCTCGAGTGACTCTTGTCTTAGAGTGCAGTTGGAAGGGAACGGTTGTGCTGAGGCACAGCAGAGGCAGAGGGCTCATGTCTGTCCTTGCTGAACCTCTCAACAGTCCCGGCTCAGGGTGTCTCGATCTACACTCCAAATGCCTACCCTAGCTTTTAATTAAAAAGCTGAAGCTCTCAGGCATGCTGTGACTCTTCTGCAGCCACAGCCAGACCACATGACTGTACAGCAGCTTAAAAGCCCACCGGGGCACTCAACAAGCCTTTCCTGCAGCAAAGAGCAGTAATGGAGACAGGAGCCCAGCCGGAAGCGTATCATCTGTTGTCTTCATTTCCACACCGAGCTTATCTGCAGAGCGTCTGTCTCAGGGCTGCAGCAGAGCAGCTTGGGCCCTGATGCTGGGTGAGGGCAAACCTGACCTTGGAGTCACTCGATGGTGACATGGAGTGTGTGCCTTCTCCAGCCTCCTCTGGATGGATGCCGACCTCTCAGGAAGGTTTGTCTTTTATATCTTTCCATGCAGAAAGAGGAGGATCTTTGCCATAAGCCCCAAAATGCAAACATAAGGATGTGTGTAGGCATGATCACAGCAAGGGCTTGGATCTGCCTCTATGTGAGGTGTGAAGGTTAAAGGCAGTCTCTCAGCTTTCTACCACAGCTAATGACGGAAAGTGCTACGTGAGAGAGTGCTTAATTAGGGATTAATGAGAAAGGAGCCTGTGGTTTTATTATCTGTTGGATATGAGCTCTGTGGATGAGCCGGAGAGCTTGCATTAGCTGCTTCCTGCAGAGTCTTCACATAAGAAAAATCCTTAGCAGGCCCAGAGGTGGAAGAGGGAGCAGTGCTCAGCATTCCCCTCTGCAGGCTCCAGAGACCTGTGGTCCTGTGGATTTCTGTCAGCAAGGAGACACTACATTATTTTGTAGAACCTCTTTGAGGGTCAAAGGTCCAGCTCCATGACAGCAGCGTGCCCTTGTGTTTCAGCACACACGTCCCTTTTTCTCAGCCTGTTGGCAAGCCGTTACATGTCAGGAGAGGGCTGGTGCAGGAACAAAAGCAGAGTTCTTTGCTTCCTTGTAGGACCATGCCTCCTTTCTGTGATGAAGCTGCCAGCAAGAAACACAGGTGACTGAAAGAGGTTGGATCACTGGCTGTTAGGTAAAGACAAGGATAATGCCAGGGAGGTAAAACACTTAATCTTTAATTAGCTCTGCTGTTCTAAGCTGTTGCATAAAAGCTATTTAAGTTATAACAGGACATAATGTATGCTTGCACAGTAAGAACAACAAATATAGGCAGAACAGTCCTGGTCAGAAGTATCTCTCAATCCACCACAGCAGACCTCTTTGCCATCATTATGGAGCTCATGGCCAGCCTGGCTGAGCAGTGCCAAACAAACAGCCAGCACCAAATGCATTTAATGGCAGCAGTTCCTCCTCTTTCTAAACAATATGTGCAAACATGTCTTTCCGTCCCCTGGGGCTTTCATTGTCTTATGATTAGCAGGTCCCTGAATGTTCCTTGAGGAGAGACATCAAGACAAACCCACTGCAGGCCTTCCCCAGTCCATGGGGCTCTTGCTGCATGTGCTACAAGGAGACAGAGGCCAAGGGCTGAATCACTGTGTAAAAACATCGTTTATGTAAGTGTTTCTCACATCTATTAATTCTGTGCTTCCTTCTGTATTTTGAATGTTTTAATGATTATTCTGCATTTTGCCATTCAGTTGTTGCAGTAACATCTAGATCCTAAAGTTGTCAGTCCTGATTTTTGTGACATCACAGCCCAACTCCATTAGCCTTGCTATTTGATAAAAAGCTCATGAACTTTTCAAGCTTTCTGTATTGACACAACATGCTGTTAGGTGCTCTCTTTGCTTTATTAACAAAACCAGACACCTTTTCTGAACAAAACCAGGTTTCTTTTCTAGCTCTATACCATTGTACACCTAGGTATGAAGTCCTTTGCTTACTTCTGTGTCCAAGGGAAGTCAGTTGGTGTGATCTTTCTAGATTTCAGCGATGTGTATGATGCTGTTTCTCACAGTCTCATTCTGGACAAAGTGCCCAGCATACAAGTAGGCAAAGGCATGATGTGCTAGGTGAGCAGCTGGCTGATGGGTCAGGCCCAAAGGGTTGTAATAAATGGGGTTACATCAGGCTGGCGGCCAGTCACTGATGGATCACACAGGGCTCCATTTCAGGGCCAGTTCTCTTGAGTGTTTTCAGAAATTATTTGGATACAGCACTTCAAATTAAACAAGCACCAGTGTTGGATTCTCAACCTGGGATGAGGCAATGCTGGTTATACAAACAGACCAGGCTCAGGCCTGACCAGAGCTCAGGGAGTGTTGGAACAGTGATCTCAGCCATAGGGATTGGGTTTTGAGTGGTGCTGTGTGGGGTCAGTGATTCTTGTAGGTCCCTTCCAACTTGGTTCTGTGGTTCGGTTTTCTCCTGATTGGCCAAATGCTCTCACATGCAATTAAGAAACAAGTCCTTTTTTTTTTTTTTTTTTTTTTTTTTTAAATCTAGGCCTTTCTATATCCTGCTTGGTCTTATTTGTATTCATTCCCTTCTCATTATTGCTAAAAGCCTTCATACTGAGAACAGAGATTTCAGTTGTCAGCAGCAAAAAAAAAAGCCACCGCCACATGGCAAACACCGCTCTAACACCAAAACTTCCCAGCCCTCTTTCTTCTTAGCCTCTAATTGCAGATCACACCCATTTCAGATTTTAAAACGTGTCTGACTAAAACTTTACCCAATACAAGTGGGTGCAACAAGTCAGAGACGCTGAAGACATCATTAAGGTTGGAAAAGACCTCTAAGGTCATCTAGTCCAACCGTCCACCTACCAGTATTGCCCACTGAACCGTGTCCCTTAGTTCTACATTTACACCTTGAACATATCCAGGGACGGTGACTCCACCACCTCCCAGGGCAGCCCATTCCAGTGCCTGACTGCTCTTTCAGAGAAGTTGTTTTTCCCAACACCCAACCTAAGCCTCCCCCGGCACAACTTAAGGCCATTCCCTCATCCTATCACTGTTACATGGGAGAAGAAACCGACCCCCACCTCGCCACAACCTCCTCTCAGGCAGTTGCAGAGGGCGATAAGGTCTCCCCTGAGCCTCCTCTTTTCCAGACAAACTGCTCCAGACAAGATGCTGCCTATTAGAGGCATTTATATAATTGAAGTGGTCTATATTTATCAGAAGTGCATGAAGTTCCCACCTCAAGGGTTGGATGCCCAGCAACTTGGAAAACATAAGCTTTCCTAATGAATCATCAGGGAGAAGAACCTAAAAATATGAGTGACTCTAAGAGGATGTGTCCTGGAGCTCAGGGAGTCAAAGTCAGGTAGCACGAAGTGCCATCCTGGCACTGGCTATAGTTGCGGATGCTACGCTCAGAAACTCCTTGCCTGTGAGAGCAGAACCTGTGCTGGATCCTCATGTCAGACTTCAGCTGTGATGTTTGATGTTGAGCCAGTGTTGAGCTAAAGAGAAAGTCTCCTGAACCACACAGGGGTCTGCTGACAATGTTTTGAGGACCACTATTGCTGCTTCATCTTGAAACTGAAAGCCAACACAGATTCAGCTTTGCCTGTGAGATCCTACTATGTGTGGCTGGAGACAGCAAGGTGATCAGACAGCCTGAGGGGCATTTCTGCTGTTGTGCATGAACAGAAGTGGTTAAGAAGAGATATCTTAGGCAAATAGAACAGCTGGAGGAGAATGATGAATAGTCTCTTGTTTGTTTTTTACTGTTGTAAGTGGTTATGTTTCCCCACCGTACCTGAGAACACAGCTTAGTTTGGGCAGAGTGGTCCTCCCTCTGCAGGCCCTATGTTGATTTTGTGCAGTGTCTAATACGTGACAACTGTCTTTTTAAGCTCTTAATCACTATGTCCTGGATCACAGTTCTGCCTTCCCTTATACTAAATGGAAGGCCTGCCTGCTGGAGGCAGACACTGGCCATTCAGCTGTCCTGCTGCATGTTCTTCTCAATGTATTGATGGTCCACTTCGGTGACCATCTTGATGGCTCTGCATCCCTGTAGTGCTCCTTGCAATGCCTTTGGTCCCCAGCATCACCTAGTTCAGCATCCTGCTCCATATAATCTGTACGTTTGCTAAAGGTGGCACAAAAGCAGTACGTGCAATTCACACAGTGAATCCACTTGAAGTTCAACACAATGATAGAGAGGTTAAACTGCACTGAGCCAGTGAATTAGTGACCCATCACAACCAAGGTCAATGTGCCTCTCAGTAGCATCCACAAAGCAGTCATTCTCTCTGACCCATCTGGAACCTCCACATTTTGTTATGGCTTGGAAAAGCTTCATCAGAAGGTGTTCTCTCATTGCTATTGTTACAAGTTTCCAAAAAACAGCTCTCTCCTGTGAATGCCAGGCTTGAGGTTACCTAAATGAGCTGTAGAGCTTCCCAACTCTACAGCCAGTATTAATCTAGCCCTGAAAGAGGGATACTGCTGAGCTGTGGGCTATGAGAAGAAGCAGAGTCTTGGGGATGGTGGAAGTGATGCGCAGAGTGAAAGGACAGGAGGTGCAGCAACTCAGGGTCTTCCCCAGGATGGAGGGACACGGGTACAGGCTGCCATCACGTTGGTGCTCTGCGCAGATGTTTGTATGCACTCTTTGCATGAACTGCACCTGGATGCTTGCCTGTGGGGTTCCTGTGGTCACTGCCCAACCCACCCAGTGACCTGGGCACCCATTGGTGAGACTAGACTAGTCTTCCTGAGCTATTGCTCCAAGCACCTGGGGGCAGCTCTCTGCCACTGTGATTTGTCCACCCAACCCAGTACCCCCAGCACGGATGCACTGGTCAGTCTGGGACCAGGCTGGGAAATGAGGCTCTGTTGCACAGCAACCAGGAAAAGACACTGATCCAAAACTAACTGTGAAGCTGCTCTGCGCACTGCATATTTCTTAAGCAAGGTAATTTATTTGGAAGAGAGCTGATTCTGGCAGCGCTCCTCATGCACATTTTCTGCTCTCCTCCATCCTCCATGCAGACAGCTCTGCTGTTCCAGAGCTCCTCTCTCCTGCCCTGGCTATGATATGATATCATGAGGTATATATGAGGTATATATGATATCACCTATATGATAGGTGAGTCCCTATCCTGCAAGAGCTGCTGCAATTGCTTTTTATTTTTAAGCCCTGAGCCACAAACACCTGACCTTGATCATCCACTTGCAGCCCTAGCAGTTTCACACATCCTCATTTAGCCAGCAATAGTAACTAAATGGGCCCTATTGGTGCACAGGGTGGAGATGGCAGGTCAGTGTGCCCACAGCTGCTCCCCTAAGTGAGACTGCAGGGGCTGGGCTCACATAAACCCTGCCAGATTTTCTGCTGGCAACAAAGAAGGTCCTTCAGAAAGAGTTAATGGGATGGAAAAGTGGATTATGGCCTTTGTGATGTTATTTTCCTGGTTTGAGACCCAATTTAAATAACCTTTCTTTTTTTTTTAAATCCTTCAGCCCACCCCATGAGGAAGGATACAGTAGACCCTCATCCGTCATTTGGCTGTATGCAAGGAGATGCTTGTGATAAATCAATCTGAGAGGAAGCGTGACCCCTCAAAGTAGGGCTACTGCTGAAGAGGATATGGACCCGCAGGCTGTCATGCAAGGAAGGATATTAGTGCAGACTCGGTCAAGAGAGAAAGCCATACCACCATGCTCAGGCTTGGCTGTAAGTACCCAGGCATTCAGAAATGTTGAACTCGGCGTTCTGGGCTTGAGTTTTGGTGGCACTTGCTCCCAGCTGGCTTATCGAGCTCCCAAATTCACTGCGGAGTCTCCTAATGCAAAGGCACTTGGCAAGCTTTCCCTTATTCCTTGGGCTGAAAGGTGAAGTTGAACCTGGAGGGTTCATGAGTGCTCCACCACGTTTTTGAGGTGCAAAGCCAAGCACATGCAAAGAGAGATTTGCCATGGTACATGTAAATATCTGGGAAATGATGGGAGCCTGCTCGTGGGAAGGAATGGTGCTGTGCTGTGGTGATGGGAGAAAATATGCTGCAGCCAGTGCTCATTTAGGGGCCAGGAATGTGCTTTTGGTACTACAGCCAGGTCTGCTGCAAAATTTCAGCTTGACTGGAATGCCCAGGATGCTAAGTATGCCCTTCTGAGAGATCCTTCACCCTGAGACAGGCACCAGCTGATACATAAATTAACATTTTCCCCCCAGCTTTCAGAGGAGGCTTACAGCAGGTTCTCTAATTGCACAAGTGTTTAGCACAACTTGACTAAATTTCTCCGGGCGCTGCTAATGAAAGTGAATCTACTGGGATGACAAATGTCTTCCTCTTCTCACCCACAGCTGCTGCAACCGCTTCTCGTGCTCCAGTGCTGCCTTGCTGACTCTTGGATGCTGCCTGTGCAAGGCCCAGCGCTGCCTTGCCTGCTTGGTGCGGGTTATCAGTGGTCAGTTCCTGTTTCAGCAAATAGCTCTGGTGGAAAAGGACTGATCTGTAAGTCTCTTGTCGTCCTCCTGTCCATGCTTGGTGGGGAAACTGAATAAAATGCATTGGATGCTGCAGGAAGACACAAAATTTAAATAAATTCCCCTTCCTTCTCAGTAATCAAAATGTTTCTCCCCTAAGAGCCCCTTGATTAATCGATCTCGCAACTGACAAATCGAGGCTGGGAATTCAAAATCCAATTGAAATGGAGGAAAACAACATTATGCACCATCTGATGCAGTCAGCAATGTCACAGAATGAAATGACTGCAGAAAAATAAGGCCTTGTGCTGGAGGAGCCGTCATTAAGATGTGGCGAGGGTATTATTAAGTAAAAGAACATTGATTTTGTTTGAAGGATTTGGCCGTCCATGTTAAATATCATCTCAGTAATGTGATCTCAGTAGTTGCTCGAAATGTCAGACTTACTTGGCTACATCTGTTTGCTGGGGCTGCTGCCGGAAAATGGAAATGAAATTTTTTTTCTTTATCAGCCATTGGTCTGCATTAGCAACTCGATAGGCTTCACCCATTTGGGGCTGAATTAGCATGTGAGCTCACTGCAGGGAATCTAGGTGTGCCAGGAACGCTGGTGTCTATCAAACATGTGTGATGGTAACAAGATGAGTATTTTCTGCAGGCAGAAGCAGCCACCACAGCAGGATATTCCAAAGCCAGGATCCTCTGTGAGCTCTGGGCTTTCATGTGATGTGCACTACGGATCCAACGCTGGTCCAGGTCTTCTGCTGCACGACTACACGCAGTGCTGCTGGCTTCAGCTCCATGTTCCTGCTTTGGGAGAGCACGGAGCCTGCATCTCTGCACCCACGGACACTGCTTCTGTCAGGTACCCAAATGCCAGTGCCCTTGGTAGTGAAGGAGGTAGAAACACATCGGTGTTCTGTGTGAGTCCTGCTGAAGGCAGCCCTTGGCTGGGGCAGCCTACGAGGCCACCCGTCACTGCTGGGGACGTCTGTTTGTGTCTCTGGGAGAGGTGCTCAGCCCTGCCACCAGCTCAACCTGTGCCAAGAGGAAAGCAGCAGCCATGTCCCAAACTGGGCAGGGGTTGGGACTGGGTGGGCTGTTGCGTCCCTACCAACTCAAGCCATTCTATGATATTTTCTACAGAAAAAAAAAAAAAAGAAATAGGAGAAGAAAATGGAAAGAGGATAATTCTGTGTTTGTTGGGTGAGCCTGATAGCCACAGAGCACAAAGGGGAAAATATACATGGAAAGCAAAACACAGAAGCTTTTGTGTGATGCCAGCAATTTTTCTTTCCTTTTCTGAGAAAGGAGCTGTGTGAATGTGAGGTGTGAGATTCTGCTCTTTTAAATGGCTGAGTCAAACACCATCTCAATTACAGAGAGCAGTGCAGGAACATGAAGGACACAGAATGACTGTGTTTTGTCATTCCTCCTGCAGACTCAACACGTGTAGCGAGCGGGAAAAAGGGAAAAGATTGTGAGAGAATTTGGACGGGATTTGGATAGCAGTTTTCAAATGAAATTTAAAGGTTGTTCTTAGACCCAAATGCAGGGTGCTGCTCCAAGCATGAGCAGACTGGCAAACGATCTGCCTTTTTCCACTTAATATTACTTCTAGGGATGTGTTTACCACATAAGCAGAAAGAATTACAAATGTGATACTGGGTACATTGTCAAAATACCAAGAGAGCAATGGCTGGAATTTATAGATTTTCTTAACCTAAACATTTTCTTCTCTGTAACTGACCACTGATGCTATTTTTTATTTTGCAAATGAGCAGTAGTCCGTGTGGCAAAAGCCAAATGTGGAGGAGGATACTAAGGAGTGGTTGCTGGCCACAGTGACTGTTTTCCTTAGGGGTTTGGCGACCACTGGAGATGGATCACTAGCATCCCTAGCCGAGTGCTGCAATATGGGGTTGGTTTGGAGCTTTGCTGCCCTTGCATTCACTCCCCCTCGCAAAGCTTCCCCAGATGCTGCCCTTCCTTCCAAGCAGCAAAGGGGGAAGGATGCTGCCACCCTCCACACTCCCCTTTGAGGCCACGTTCTGCTGTCCTGGCATGTGCGCATTGACTCCACCGCCGCCCTCTATTGAGCTGTGCACTGAATGATGATGAAGTGACATCGTCATGGCAACACGTGTTGACTTCCCGGTTGCATAGCAACCTGATGCAGGCTGATGTAAGAGGTGTGCTTGTTTCCTCTGCTGGCTGCGCTCCTTTGATGTGTCTATGAGATTCGGGCTTGTTTTGGTCTATTTTCTTTCATTTTCTGGACATGTTGTGACATCAGCGTGATGCTGTGTGTGTGCACAGAGGAAAAGAGATAAAGCTTATCTCCTTCAAACGCCCTCCTTGGGGCACTAAGATACACAGCTCGTTTTCAGAGGCTCAATAGTATTCAATCTTGTCATTGTTTTGTGCAATATAGACTCGAGGAGACCGGAAGACACTGTTAAGTGATTTTGTCTCCAGCTTCCCTCTTGATTTTGCATGATCTTTTCCAAATGCCCAATATCTTTGCATGTGGGGCAGGTCTGCTTTTCATGGTATCACAGCTCAGTGCCACAGTGAAGCTGCAGGTCTGATTTTTGTGCATTGTCGGCTGGGTTTGCTGTTTCATGGGGCATCTGCAGTGAAGGAAGACTACTAAATCTTTGTTTACAGTCATCAGATTGAATTTTTGCACCCGACAGGAAATGATAGAAATCTACAATGTCCTTCTTGTTGTAGGCTGTGTTTCTTTATACTGAAGCAGAAGAAAGTTTGTCCATGTAGATCAATGGAAGATGGAGAAGCACTTCTGGTAATGTCATGCGTGGCCCAGGGAGAGAATTAGAATATCCTGAGTTGGATCACCGAGTCCAACTCCTGAAGCAGCAGGTTGTGAGACAGTCTGGAAGGGGAAAGGACAACATGCCCTTGTAGACCAGACTCTGCTTTAGGGTACCATAGACGTAGGGCACCATGGGAATGCCAGGACCTCCTCTGTCAGGCACCTCAACTTACAGAGGGGTGAAAGTGGAGATAAGGGCCTTGCATACAGATCTGTGCCAATATCGTCTTGTACTATGTGAGGTGATAAGACTGGGCACTTGGGGATGGCACCTGTGCCATCATTCATGAGCAGGTATTGCCCTAACTGGTTTTGGAGAGAGACTGCTTAGCATGGGAACCTGCTGGTGTCCATTAAGGGCAAAAAGTCCCCACCCCCGTTAGAAAATCCACGTATGCCCCGATAACTCCAAGATCTAAATTCTGATCACAGTAAATAAATTAAAAAAATGCTGTCAGGTTTCATCAGTGTGCCATCACCAGTGCTGTAATGTAGTGGTTTCAGAGTCAAAGCACACCTGTAACCAAGTTTTCCTATCATCAGGTCCAGGAGATGTAGACACAGAAATCTGAAAGGAGATATTGATCATTTGTTGTGCCAAAGACAGGCTGAATCTCTGTATACATCACTCCTCAAATGTGTGGGGTGTTATTTAGTGATGGCAGCCTCCAAACAGCTCTTCCACATGACTGATAGCAACAGAAAATCATCTGTCACTGCTTGGCTTCAGGCTCTTCCAGCAAAACCATGTGTTTGTCAAAGAAGAAAAATGCTTTGACAAAATCTGTGGGAGGCTGTGAGTGCTCAAACCCAAAAAAGTTATTGTTGGCTTTTGACATGGGCTTGGGAGAGGCAGTGGCAGCCTTTAAAAGACCTCTTCAGTGTCACAGTGATGACTAACTGGCTAGCACAGCTCTCCCACCTCTCACCCCGTGCCCTTCACCCCTCCTCTGTAACGAGCAGAGGATCTCTCTCATTTCTTCTCTCAAAGTTCTTCTACCTCTGTAGGGGCATTAACAAATTGCATTTATGATTTCTTTCCTGTCCCATCCCAACCCATTTGGCCTTGTCATTTCTTGGAGGAACACAAATAGTTGTTAAGTATCCCTTTGTTTTCACACTTATTCCTGGGAACTAAATCTCAGCTCTGAACAGAGGAGCGCGTGGACGCGTGGCACTTCGTCCTGGTCACAGCCTTGGCGCTGCTGTCAGATGAGCTGAACAATCAAAGCCCCACAGAGGTGGGAGCGCTGACCTTGCTTGCAACAGCTCTTCTGCTGACTATTGTGCTTGGATGGACCACTTACTCTTGTCTGCCTGATTGCTTTGCTTTGCAGCCCATTCACAGGAAAACGGGGAGCACTGGGTCTGCTTCCCAACCAGGAGTGAAAACAGCCATGCTGGTGGATGATGCTTGCTGTTTACTTTTCAGGGAATGCAATTGCTGCTTTTTTTTTTTTTCCATCAAAGACTGAGACTACCACTCTGTTTATAGATTGATCTGTTTGCTTCAGTTTTGTCTCCTTTGATTGATTTTCTGGAAGAAAATTCAGACATGAGTGGTTTGGTGGAGAAGAATGCTCTCCCATGCGTTTGGCACCATGCTTGTCCGGGAAACAAAGGAAAATGATTTTTTTTCTGAGCAACTCCATGTCGTTGCAGCCTTTTGTGACTGCAGGCAAAAATGTTCTGTGACTTTCATACTGGGGCTTTCATTGTACTTCCCAGTGCATAAATGAGGCAGCAGGAAAAGCATCTGGGTGATGTAAGACTGAGCAGTCAGTCTGCCAAGAGAGACAATTGCCTGTGTTATATATCTTTGTGGACAGGTATTGTCTGACCAACTCCTGGACAGATCTGCTGGAGAGATCTCCAACCAGTCTAGTATGGCCTTCACTTAATGCTGGAGAGGTCTTTCTAATATTCAGTTTCTATCTTTCTTCAAACAGTTGGCATCTTTTCTAATCCCAGCTCAACCTATCTTTCCCCATCAGTCATGTTTGGAAGAGCCACAGTTATTCTCATTGCTCTGCAATGGGCAGCATAACAGGACCCTGCCCTGGCTCCTACATCTTCCCTTGGTCCAGGGAAGCCCATGGCCCTTTGCTGGGCTCCTGGCTCTACACTGAGCACCGCAGCCAAGGTATCACGTTCCAGGTGCTCCCAAGAGGATTTCACCTCATGCAGGTTTCAGCGTGGGCACCACACTGGGCTCCAGCACTTTGCAGCGCCGTGATGCTCTGGTGGCTGCCTCTCACAGCTCCGAGGACAGGGCTAGTGTCAGGGCAGATGCTGTGTGGGCTGTTATGGCTCAGAGATGCAACAGCTGTCAGAGATGTGTCATGCTGCAAGAGGAAATAAGGAAATATAAGCCCAATACCAAAGACAAAAACAAGCGGTAGCAGTTTGCCTCCAAAGTCGCTCATTCCAACCGTGCTTGAGAACTGCCTCTGCATAACATGTAGTGCTATATTTGTCTGCGAGGCAGGAAGAGAGGGAGAGAAAATATTTTTCCATCGAGGTCATTCTTGCTCACTTTTTCCTCTAAGAAAACCAACATGCTCCCTCACCCTTGCTGTTGCCCGTCATGCTGCAGGCTCACAGCCCCTGGGTTCTCCTTGATAACAGCAGACAGAGTCTTCAGAGCTCCAGTTTTCACATCTCTTTGCAATTTCTGTCCCAGTAGTCATCTTCTACCCCCGCATCAATCCCTCTCACACCTCCAACTTCACTCCCATCTGAATGTCCAAGCAAGAAGAGGCAGCGAGAAGCCTCTGCCTGTGGCCAGTTCCCCATGGTCCAGAGCAGTTATAAGGGAAATGCATCAAAAGGGCTGTGCTGAAAGGGAAAATGGACTGAAGTAGGAACATGAAAATGATGAAAATTGAGCAGACCTCAGCTGGAACACCTCTTCTTCCCCTGCCCAGGGAGATGTCTGATCCCACAACAAAAGAGTTTCTCTAACACTATCCTTGAAACACCTTTAATGTTTTAGTGTAGGCAAGGTTTGGTTTTTCCTATAGGGG